CAGGAAGGCCTAAAGTGAACTTTTAAGTAAGGTTGATAAAAATAATATTTTTAGTAGGAAAAAAAAAAGAAACATAACAGTTTTAGTGATTAAATGGGGTTTAAATTGTTTTCTTATTTTGTTACAAACTGTGCATATTCACACTCTGGGTGGGAACAACAGGGAGCGTGGTAGGAAAGATCACATAGGGAGCGTGGTAGGAAAGATCACATTTGGGAAAGGTAACATTTTTCATTTATTTCACAAAAAACAAAGTTTGCAGATGGAAACGAAAATCTTTCCAAAAATTCTGCCAAGTTAAGAAAAAAAGACAACACTTTTCAGGATGCCCTGACATCTCTATTTAGGGCTGAAAAAGTGGCCTGGTGGCTGGATTTTCAGATACTTAGCATTCAGCATCTTCCGCTGAAGTGAGGAAATCTCTTGATACACTCACTGCTTAGGCAGGGACATAAGGGTGTGATCTAACCTGAACTGAAATCAAGAGAGGCCTATGCGCAGTTAAAATCCTATAATCTCATTTCGGAAGAAAATGTGTCATTTCAGTATATAACCGTTGGAGGGAGTAAAAAAAAAAGGATAATTCACAGTGAGATCTTTTTTAGATAAAGCCTAGACTTAAATATATCTCTGTCCTTCTGCTCTTCTAGATAAAGGACCTTCTGAATAATAAACAGAAAGCACAATACTTTGTGAAACTCCATGTAATTGCTGGTCAGTTGAATACCAGTAATTTGAATAATACTAATGTAATATATACTTTGACTGGCAAGTCAGGGGAGATATCAAAGGGAGAAAAGGTAAGTGACCTTCCAGCCTACATCAGCAAGGTTTATTCTTCATGTTTAAGTCTTTTTAAGGAGTACAAAAGGTCTTTCCACAGCAAGGCATCAGGTTGCAGATAGCTGCTGGATTACGAAACGCTACAGCCATTGGCCACATACTGAGGCAAAGCCAAAGCCTCGCCAGCAAAGTTCTCAGTAAAATCAGTGAAAATAGAAAGTTACCTTTGGAGTTGCAATACCACTGAATGAGTAATGCAGACAGCTCTAAAAATGTTTTCTAAAATAAAGTAATCTTAAATCTTTGCAGGCATGACCTGCAGAGCAGGGTAGGGACAAGAAAAGAATCAAAGTGAAGTGGGGAAGGGGAAAGCTGGGAGCTGATGTTGGAAGACCTTTTGTATTGCTTTTGCAGAGGAAGCACTGACTGCACTGCAGATCCCACGTTCCACTAAGTACCCCTGGACATCCTTTAAATGACGCAGCAAATACAAGTCTTCAATATAAATAAAATACACATGGCCATTATCATGAAAAAAAGTGGAGTAAGGTTCATCACTAGATCAGTTTAGTTGATATCAGAGAACTTCAGGGCTTCAGTCTGATCCCACAGTTTTGAAAAATTTATTTTCTGTGGCTATACCTAGCTATATATATGTTTTCGATACACTAAACTGAAATCAAGCACTCCTTATGTTTTCTGCTCGATTAGTGGCACCTGAGAAAAGAGATCTATGTTCTTTTTTAATGAATCTGGATTTCATTTATAACAGGAAAATATTGCAGTCCCAGGCCTGTTAACTTCCTGCATACTTCAGTACAGTGCATAATCAGCAATATTTTGGTGTTTTAAATATATATATATAAGGAAATGGGTTGTAGTCCCCTAAGATAATGGGAGTTGACCCATTTGCTACAATCACATTCTAAATCATTTCCTGACAGATTTTTATTAGCAGCAATCATTAGAGCCCTATTACGTGCACTCCCTTTACCACGAGGCCAGGTCTATCTGCGATCCCTGTTTCTCTTCTGCACCTTGCTGTCATGGAACAAAATAATATGGTCCTGATCCAAAGTCAAAGGAATTTTTTCCATTTCCTTGATAGATGTTGGAAGCAACCCTCGGTCTCACCAGACTTAAATGGCCCAGGTATTAGCAATGAAAGCATGTTAGACGTTTTTCAACATGCATACTCGTTGTTGTAATTCCATAAGAAAGATCTCATTGTCCATTGCCTGCCTTATTTTAGGATTATCAATTAAGAATTAGAATTCAAGGAGGAAGGAGGAAAGGAAAACTTTTGCAGGGGAACATAATTGCTTCCAATGGGATTTTGCACATTATTGACAAAGCCATGGACAACAGGGACCCAACGTTTGAAAGCAGCAAAGAGGTGAGAAATAAGCTGTATATATGCCCCTGCAGGACTTTTTTTTTAAATAGTTTTACATTAACGCAAAGGAATGTAGCTGACAGCAGGTAGACAAGCTCTGCTGAGCCTTTATGCCTCAGCTCAGAAAAGCAACTGTCAAAGTCAAAGGTGCAGTTTCCACAGGAGACAGTTATTGGGTTTTTTGATCATCTGCTTAACATAATTCCTTGAGAATTCACTTCTTATATGATGATCTTGAAAACCTTTTGTTTCTCTGCCCTTTTTCATTTGGAATACATGTACAATAATGCTTTTTTCCCCCACCTTCACACTGTTTGTACATTCTGTGACTACACAGTATTTCAGGACAGTATCAGTCTCTAGCTCCATGCAAGTTTAGCCTAAGAGCAAGAGGATCCCACTATCTCAGCTGGGGCCTCCAGGCACCACAGCCGTATAAACAATAAGGAAACCCAAATATATTTGAATTTGTATTAACTGAGACCCACAATAATTCAACAAGTGTCTCCTAAGAACTGATGTTCGTTCCATGCTCCCAACTAAAATACATCTTATATTCAGGAAACGATGAATTATCATTTCAGGAAACGATAATGTCAGTGCTTCAAGATAATGAAAGATACAGCCAATTTACATCCTTGATAGAGGTAAGGACCCAGAAACGCAATTCCATAAAGCTTTTTTTAGATGCTTTACAAAACTAATATGTTTGGTTTTTTTTAATCAAAACAGAAAACTGGCCTGGGAGTGGCCTTACAACAGGATAATAGACCTTACACAGTCTTTGTTCCAAGTAACGATGCTCTGAATAGCATGAAAGCCAGGGATCTGGATTACCTGCTTTCCACAGAGGTATAGTCTTCCCATAATGCAAATTATTCTTATGCAGTGGACAATTTTGCAGCTTTAGTAGTCATTTAAACTAAGTTTCTATGATCAAGGCTTAAGGCATCTGTAACAATTAAAGATCAGTAAGACACCTAATGCAGAATATAGCTTATTCTGCATCTGCCAAATACCATACTTTTTACAGCTTCTTCTGAAGCATCTTTTATTGGCCGTTATCAGAAGCATGGTACGGGACTAGCTGTACCTCTACTCTGATACAGGAGGGCATATCGCTGTACTGCTAACAGCTCTAAAATGAGGCTTTTATAGTTTTTATTTCTCTGCATAATATTTTACAAAGTTAGATTTGTCTAACTGACATTTTCTGGCTACACACAGAGACAGTTTCACTTTAAGCTGTTTTCCATTTGCTTTTGAAAGCAAAATAAGGAAAGTTCATAAAACCCTACGACTTAGAGTCAAGATAGCGTTATGAGGTTAGTCCATTGTCCTGCAAATGTCAGAACAACTTCCACGTCTCCTGAAGTCCTCTATCAGAAGAGCAGGATTTGAGATCTTCTGTCTTATAAAGCAACACCAAACCTACACATCTGGTCCCTGCTCCCCTTCTCTTTCCCCAGCCAGCCATATGGAAAAGCCCCAATCCCCGTTCCTGGGAAGTGTCACTGCCCAAAGAGGACAATTATGGGGACAGATGCCACAGGCTTCCCTACTGGTTCAGGCAGGCCCCTGGTGGTGCCCTCGGAGGCATCTGTTGTCATCTTTGCCACTTGGCACCTCCAACATGTAAAGGTCAAAGGGGAGACAAGAGAACAGGGACACCTGTGGGGAAACAAGATATACCTTGTAGCACAGGAAAGGCCAGGCCAAAATAAAATGATGCATACCTGCAATGGTACAGAGTGGAAGAGTGCATGCCATGAGATGAACACCATTATTAATCCCAAGATTTCTAGTGCTCAAATGAATGACATTGTTCTTACTCGCATAGCCTCTCATTAGCCAGTTTGTTTTGTGTTTTTCACATTTGGCTAAAAAGACCTCTTTTATCCTTTTGCAGGGGTCATGGAAGCTTCTGGAGCTCGTCCGATACCACATTGTTTCTAACATTCAGGTGAGCATGGCTGCTTTACTGTCCCACAGGTGTAAGAATATTTGCAAACGTTTTGCTACTCTGAAGATAAATATTTTCTAACAATGACCTCTACTCAGCGTTACGCAGCGAGGCTGCAAAGGAGGGCAGCTATGCCTTTGCCTTAGTCAAGGACAGTCATACCTAAAGGTCACTAAAAGAACACATACTTTTTATCTCAGTGTACCCTATGTACAGGGTAGTCCATGAACCACAGCAAATAAAAACTACCCGTGTTGTCGTAGTTAACATTACATGCAAGTAACTACTTCCACTTTAAAATGTGTCTTTTTGTGATGGAGTCTTACCCCAAGTGGAAAAAAAAATCCTGAACCTGGGACCTGCTTAATTTACTCTGCTGCGGAGTAAGAGGGGCTGTCATAGGGTACTGTCAGCTTTCCAGATCTACAGGAATAAGTAAAAGAAAGAGAAAAGTAGTTGTTGCTCCTGAAATAAAGATCTCTCTGAGCCAATTCTGCTAAAATTAACATCTGTCTTCTGCTTCTCAGGGAGAGGTGATTTTTTCATCATCTAAGTTCCCTACTTTTCATTCCTTTTCCTACTGGAAACAAAAAAAACAAAAAGCAGAATTCAGCAACATCAGCAGCAACTACAGCTAGAAGAGCCTTAAGTTTCATCACTGGCCAAGCCCCTGCTTCTGGCAAGGAAGGATGAGTTCGTATCCTTAGTGAAGGGACCCGTATGCGGTGTCCCAGGCTGAGGTCACTCTGGCACATATCTGGATCACAGGGAGCAGGAGCATGAAATCCATTTGTCCATTCACGTGATATCGGCTGTGCTGTTTCTACAATGGTCTAAGGATGTAAACAGGACTATTTTCAGGGAGAGGCGACAGCTGTATTTAGACCGGATGATATAGTTAGGAGAAAGCAAAAAAACAAAACCAAAAAACAAACAAACAAAAAAAACCCTTTTGGTTGTTTGATTGTTTTGGTTCTTCAGAAATGGCAACCTGCAAGCTCAGAGTTTAAAATAATCAGTCTAACTTCATTATGCTAGCAAATTAGTCATTGTGAGACTGCCACTGAAGCTAGAAGAAAGATTATAGGGCTATTCACCTCAGATAGAAAGAGTTTTACTTGTGAAATCCATCTGGATTTTAAAATAACTACTGATATTAGATTTTTTCCAATCAATTTGCATTCGTTTCAGCTCGAGGTTGCCAGCCTCATCTCAATAGAGCACGTGAGAAGCATGGCTAAGCAGCTCATCTACATTAACAGGACCAGCACTGTAAGTCAGTGAGTCACTTTTACCTGTGAATAACTCTCTCTGAGCTAGGCACTCATTTGCATGCCGGGGTGGGGCAGGGACACGCTCTTGAATCTTACAGAAGCAGAATAAATTCTTGCTATAACAAGTAAAATTTTCATCCTGCCTTTCCCAGCCACTATTAGAAATCAGGACTATAAAAGATGCTGAGCAAATGACTGGTGTATAAGGACAACCTGCGTTTCTTTTTTCTTATGACTAGCCCAAATCCAGGAAAAAATATTTTAAGACATTGCTACAGTTTTCAGTTATTTTAAACACTTCTCAGTGCTCAGGTAGATATTCTTACAACCCCTGTAGTAGTATATTCTCTGATCCTGATGAACTTGGAGAACACTTTTTTATAAAAGGTGTTACTCTGTCAATCAGCATGGAATTTCTCTCACATAGCTTTAGCCATCAGGGAGGTAAATGTCCAGGATAGACTCATGAACTTCTGGAGGCACCAGTCTCCTCCCACTGACTATAGAAGAAACCTGGATAATTACAGCTAACTAGACACCTATAGGCCACTAAAATGAGATTATTCCCAACTCCTGATTAGACAAAGTCTGTGTTGAAAGTTGCATCAGCTCTTTCCTTAGTCTAGCAGCATGCATCATTTTCACTTAATATTTAACCAGCCAGATGCCCAGTCAACTTGAGTAGATATTTACATGAATAAGAAACAACCAAAAGCTTGATGAGGATCTCACAATTCAGCACATTAACAGTAAGCATTCAGAAAACACTGTTACTTTTCATGCAACACTACGTTATAGATCTCTAATAAAGAAGCCATCTCAATGGAAAGGAAAGAAAAAACAAAATTAACATAAATTCTGAAAATCTTTAACATGCACTTAAAAAAAAGAAATCCCAAATGGTGTGTATTCAAGTTGTACTCTTTTAATGAGCAAGCTATAAATCAGCCTGTAGAAATACTTTTTTTTGATATGAAGGGTTTTTTCCTAGTTTTTTGCAGTACTTTTGCTAAACCAGCCTTAACTGATGCATTGAACTCCCTTGCATTCTTTGCACGTTTTAGCCAAAAATGATTGTTCTAGAGAAAAAAATGCATCTGTGAAAATTATTTGTAAAGGCAGAGCAGTTGCATGAGTAAATTCAGAAGTGTATACTATTGTTTTCTGTGAACTTGGATAGCTTACAGATTCTCTCTCACTTTTTCCCCACATCTGTCAAACAGAGAGGGACTACCACAGAATCCAAGCCTATGACCACTGAAATCAGTGGGAAGACACTTGATAACTTCAGGCCATTTTGATCAGACCTCTAATCATCAGTTCCACAGGATAACAGTGCAGATTAGGAGGAAAATGCTGAGTGCTTATGTTACAGATCAATATCAAGCAAAAGGTGCAACATATGCATGCTTCTTGTATAAAATAAGCACAAGAAAATATAGCAAGCCAATTAAAAATGAGAAGTATGACTAAAAATTTTTGGGTTGAAATGTTTAGAGATTGCAAAAATATGATAGCTTTTCTATCCCTCTGTTATTTCACAGGGACGAATCTTGGTGAGTGGAGAAGAAATTGAAGAAACAGATATTATTGCAAAAAATGGTCACATTTATACTCTTGCAGGCGTTCTTATCCCACCCACAATTGTTCCAATTCTACCCCATCGGTGCGATGAGACAAGAACTCAAGTTGCAATGGTAAGAGCATTACTTCAAATCAATAGTAGTACAAATCAATAGCTTTACACTTGGTAAATTCAGATACTATTTCTGGTAAGAAGAGTGAATATCAAACTGGGCTTTTAGCTTGCAGTAAGTGTTGCTCTAATGAGCTATTACTGGATTGTATTCATACTCATATCAGGGCCATTGACAATTCCAGCACAGTAATGCAAAACAATTACTGTCCTAACTTATGGCAGTCCAGAACCAGAGTCCAGAGCCTTGAAACGGATCTTCAGCTGAGCTGGACAGCATCAAAATTTAATGAAGAAAGCACAGGAGCTGGCAGTAAAGAACTGTTGACTCTGGTAGCAACTACAAAGAGCCATATGTGCAATATAATCATAAACTAGGTAGAAATCCAAGCAGCAATCCTTGATACCAAAAGCAATCAACACCTAAAACACTCCAGTAATTCATATTCCTTACCAGAAAGCTACTGATAATCTATTTCTGGCGTTGATCAATACCATTGGTACACTAGAAAAAGTGATTTCAAGACAAATTAAATAGCATCCTTCACATAAAGTTTCTCAGACTGAAGTTAGACACTTTTGTCAGCTTTGAAACCTTCAAGAATAATTTAAAATATAGTTTAATGTCCAAAGCTTTAAACAGAGCGCTACTACCCACTAGAATACCAGACTCGAGTAATAGCTGGGTTGTTCTTGTTCTGCCATTGTGTATTGTCAGTGCTCTCATAAAAAGAGAACAATATTAAAAGTAGTATTTATGAGATGGTATCAGTAAGAAGTGCTAAACCTTGTAAAAACTGAGTTTTACACAGGTACAAAAATCATACATCCCTAAAGACAAAAATATTATTATGCTAACACATAGATATCAGCGTACCTGAATGCCGGTAATAACTGCAGGACTCAAAATATTCAAAAAAATCATAAGGATTGAAACAGTACAGAAATATCACTGTCCAGCATTTCTAAAAGTGCAGGAAGTAAAACAGATCCATAGTATCTGCCTAGTGTGGAGACTTTAGCCAATTTTGATGACTTCTAACAAAACATGCTTTGGCAACTGAAGTGGTAGCCCTCCCCAGCTGTCTGCTTTGCCTTCTTCCAGAGGTCATCTCTCCCTCAGCAGAGCTGACAGAAGGGAATATATGTCTATGCTTCAGATGTTTCTCTGCAAAGATTGTATCTTAATCTACTAGTGAAGCCAGACAGAGCTCATAAACTAGATACTGCACAGAAGTGCAGAGTGGGGGCAGGGAAACAGGTCTGCAATGCAGCAGAGGGGAGAGATGAGACTTCTATCCTCAGGAAGAGGAGGTAGCAGGTATGTGCCAATAGCTAAGACACTCCCACATGGACAAAGGGAATGAACAGGTGACCCTGCATGACACTGGATAGCAGGGAAAGCAATGCCAATAGAGGGAAATGCATTCTAAAGATCTCAGCCAGATTTTTAAGCTCTAAAATACTAAATATATTCTTAGAGGGATTTTCAAAAACCCAAAGAAAAGCAAGCGTCTAAGTCAACCTTGGTCATGACTGCACAGCTCAAAGAGCTTTTATAATGCCTAAACATATTTCTCAAAATGTATCTGACCCACGCAGCTTTGAAACACAGTGGCATTGGTACCTCCACTAGTCAGTGCCCAAATGCTTTTGTAAGTCTGGTCTTTTATTGCTTTAAGTGCTTCACAACACAAGGAACTGCTGAATCCAAACCAGATATTATTTTAGTACTTGATTCTTTCCCCATAAGCTCTAGGAATAAATCTGTGGGGAAAATGCCGTAATTCCAGTTCATATGCATTTGTCCAATGTTTATGAAAAACAGTGAAATAGTATATTGGATGCTTGTTCTAATATTTATTCTAATTTGATTGACACATTAAAAGTCATGAGCAACACAGCTTTGACAACACAGCTTTGATGAACTCCATATCCACACACTGAACTGCACATTCTCTCTGAAGTTATTGTGTGCTGAGCTTGTTGGAGGATTCACTTTTTTAACTTCCACTGGAGTTTATATCTCCTCAAGGCTGTAATTGCCAGGCACTGTCACCACTACACGGTGATAAATTAGCCAGTGGTGAAAGGCAACCAAAAGGTGAAGACATAAAAACAGCTATATACCACTGGATCGTAGCAAAGTGCAGGATCTACAACATGTCAGCACGGAATATTTTTTTCTCTTTACCTCCTATAGACAGATTTCTGTTCACACTACCCATATACGAGATTGTCAACTAATCTATGATCTGCATAAGAGGAAATAAAACATTCTCATTGAATGTTAAGCATACAGACTGCACCAGATGCTCAGACAATATAAATTAACACACCAAATTGGCTTGAGCAAATGATGCCAGTTCCCTTGTGCCTGTGTTTGTCTTCTATTTTGAGAGCTGCTGCTTGTTAAAAGGAGGGAGTGGAGAAATAACAAAAAAAAAGGTGAAGGTGGAAACAAACAACGACCCAACAGAAGTTGGAGCCAGTAGATACAGCCCTGCCTGGTGCTGCTGATCCATGATCAGCTTCCACAACCCATGCTATAACAGTTAAGAGTCAGAGATCAGATATTCCTGGAAACTTACAGTAAGTATCGCCAATAAGTTTGTTTCTCAGAAGCTGGTACCTGCCTTTTGAAATGACAGTCCTTCTTGTCTCCGTTTAGGGTACCTGTGCAAGTTGTTTATTGCGCACACTGACTCCCTGTCCACAGGATTCAAAGCCTATAGTAAGTGACATTCTATGACAGTGCAAAACGCATAGAGAGAAGGCATCCCCTTGTGTTGGTGACTGCTTTCCCAATATAGTGAGCAAAAGAGTTGAATATGAATGTAGAAAACTGAATAAATACAAATATAAACAATAGTTTAGTCTCTTTTTGGCAATGAGTAAAGTATATGGCAATTTCAGCATTCTTTTGTCTGCTATAGCAAAATTCCTTACAGATCTCATAGCAGCTCTGACTCTTTTGTCAGGTAAAGGAAAATCTACTTGGGACAGGTTTTGGCAGGAGATGAGACAGGCGAGGAATGAGAATTCCTATGGTTATGCTTTGAGAGTTAGCATATGAAAAATAGAGAAAGGATAAGTTTAAATTAGACCAACATCTGTTAAAAATTTCTCTTTGATTAAACCTCCTCCTAGAAGTAACTTTCTGAAGAAGTAGCTTCAGAATGGACTGAAAGCCTTCCATATGCTTTGCCTCTGAGAGATGCAGTTCTGGTTGCACGTCTCTCCACCTACAAAACTCAAGTCTGACTAGCCTAGGAATTATATTTTCCATGTTACAAATAATTCACTGGTAGTTGTCCTATATAGCATTTCCAGTAATTTTAATAATGATCTAACCACAGGTAAAAAGTAAGAAAACTCATATTATGCAAAAAAGGTATAATTTAATAAATTTTGAAAATATGTAGTACTATGCCAAAGCGCTTTCCGTTCTGCAGTTAAATTATGGTATAATATTGAGATTGTATCACAGTATTGCACATTGCTTAGGAATACTAATGTGTACATTTTGTGCATGTTCTAGCCTTTCTCAAAACGAAGATGCATTATTGAAGGCTCCACCTTTCCAAAAACTGGCTGTGCTAGATACTGCAATATAACAGTAAAGGTACAGAGTTACAGTTTTAAGGTGAAATGTACATAAAAGCTTTCCAAAGTACTGTCTTTTGTATTGTGAACTTTACTTCTGGAATTGAGAGACACTTGGAGATCTCCGGGTAGTTTCTATACCCTTCTACAAGTGGGTGGTTGAGGGGAACCACGTAATTCTTAGAGTAAAGTACCAGACAAATTTTTGCCATTATCCTTTCTACTGCCTGAAATAGTTCCTCTCTACAATGCATGCTTACACCAGCTTTAGCTGGCAGGTTCTTTAGCTGCCGTATGTTATTACTGAGAACTTTTTCATATTCTGTAACTCAGGAGTTTGCACATACAGCTCCTAGCCCAAACGTTGGCATTGCTCCATACAGCTTCACCCACAAAGAACTGCACTGTTTGACAATGAGCCTCTCTTCTCCCATCCGTTATTGTCCCAGGACTTCACATGATATTCAATAGCAATGAATGGCAAAATGCTCTCAAGAACCACACTCCACTCACTGTGTTTGGCATATCTAGTCCTCACAAAAATCATTAGTCACTCTGAGGTACTTGTGACTTTCCATAGTCTTGCTCCTGGGGCTTCTAAATAGGCTTCTGCATTTCACAGCACCCATTAAGTAGCAAGCAGAGAAGTCTACAAATCTGTAAGCTTTGAGAGCTCTTTGCTCGTTCATATTTCCCTTGAATTACACATGTAAATAAGGGGGGTTTTTTTCCTAATACAGTTTCTGTGCTCTTGGATGAATAAACAGATCAAGCGACCAATTCATGAATAAAACAAGACACAAACAGAAACATTTAGGGCCATGTAGTGGTTAAATTCCATATCGGTGCACAGGGAAAGGAGGAAGATCAAAGCAGTGAGCCTAGCTTTCATGGGGTCTCCCTGGGGGTAGAACATATCTTTCAGTTACCAACCTCAGATAAGAAGGAGAACTGCCTCTGAATTACACTGCACACCTACAGGCAAATATTAGGGGAGACTGAGTTATAAACAGACACATTGGAATTGAAATTTATAACACTGATGAGTCTATGATAACAATGGGGGAAGGATGTGATGGTTTGTGTCCCTCTCTCAGGCTGCCTGCCCCCCGTCCTGGTTTTAACAAGACCATTGCAGAGGCAGTTCTGGTTCAACACAAGCTTTTTAAGAGGCCGTTAACCTTACAGGCTTTTGCCAGAGGGCCAAAGCCTGATGGAGAGTTGTCCTGTGTGTGCTGTTTCCATGCCAAAGCTCTGGAAAAGAGGATGCTTTTAATGCATTGTATGGCAACCACTAAGGGGGAGTTACCCTGAAATAGCAAAATCTGGTGCAGATGTTTAGTGCAGGTCAGCTCACACAAGGCCACATCGAGGCAGCTGAGAAATGCAATTTTTCTGATGTGATGTCTCCCTGTTTCTGTTGAAGAGCCCTTACATTTTGGCATTCTTAAGAAGTTGCTGGAGTTTCCACCCACAAGACAACACCAGTGCAAGGCGGTGCAGAACAGAAAGCAGAGCACTGCTTCTTCCTAAGTGAACCATCAGGCTTCTGCAAATATTGAATAACTCTATTTCAGTCTATCCCCTTAAGGATTAAGGGTTATTTCAGATGACAGGCAGAAATATTTGCTTTATTCACAGGAACCAAAATGTTGCAAAGGCTTCTTTGGCCCTGACTGTATTCCATGTCCAGGAGGTTTCTCCAAACCCTGCTCAGGAAACGGGCAGGTAAGTGGAGCATCCAGCAGTATCCTTCACTCTCATGTGGGGGAAGAACTGACTGTGTCTCAAAAGTCCCTTAAAATTCCTGTAATGCAGAAGTGCTTAAGTTCTACAGGAGCTGCTCCATTTATATGTCCAGGGATGACCGTGAAAATCAGATTCAGATTCAGTTACACAGAAGAGGGAAAATGAATCAGTCTCCTCTCATACGTCTAAACTGTAGATTTCTGTGGTTCCTATACACAGCACACAGTCAAGGCTGGGATTAGCAAACGAAGGTAGAGTACACAGCAATAGAGTATAACTACAAGCACAAGGAAAGCTTTTGCTATGAAAAATTGTTTTCATTAAAACTGAGATTATTCCCTATAGTCTGTGTCACAGTCATAATACAAACAGGCTTACAGTCTCTTCTTGGAGGGAAGGACAAAGATTTTATTTAATCTTACAAATAAAAGTCATCTGTCTCCTGTATTGCAGTGCGTGGATGGCATGAATGGAAACGGAACCTGTATTTGTGCTGACGCATTTCAAGGCTCACACTGTCAGTTCTGCTCAGACCCTGGCAAATATGGAGCTCAGTGTGACAAAAGTAAGTGCAGCAGTGCTTCCTCAACTCAAGATTATGTGATTTTTCTTTTAGAACCTAGTAACATTAAAGTAGGAGCTAACCACTAGCTATACACTCTCTATGAAGGACGAGTAAGATGTCCCTGGGGCAGGTTTTCTTATTTCAAAGGGCTAGATCATAAGCCCAGACTCAGTGAAAATATTCACTCCGGCTTAATTGGGCTTTCTGTCAGGTTCATTGCTTGCCTTATATTAATGTATTGTTCATTTCATTTCTATCTCCCTCACATGAGTAATTGAAAAGGAAATGGTTACTATTTATTTCTGTTCTGGTATTGCTCACCAGTAGAAGACATTCTGCCTACGGTCAAACATATGCAATCTAAGAACAACAAAGATTATAAACTGACTGCATTTAGAACTACTTAATGGCCATCCTTACAAAGTAGTTTCTTATCTATTGAAGAGCTTATGGCCCCAGCAGTCATCATCTATATACTGAAAGATTTAATCCTGCTGTGTCAAACTGTACTGCATTTGAGAAACTACAGAATAGACAAAAAATATAGACATGTTCTCCATCTATATAAACATTTTCAGTCTTTTTGCTATGCAACAGCCCGTCACTCATGAAGCACAGCTCACTCTAAGGTTCAGAAATACATGGACAAAAGCTGAAAGACAGATTCTATAAGAAAAGATAGCATTGTCTAAGCTCCAGTCCTGTCAATGCAATATATGTTGGCTTAACTTGTTGGCACTTCTTGGGACTGCAGACAACTTCACATGTTGGCACTTCTTGGGACTGCAAAAGATTTGCTTATTATGCCTGCTGGGCATACTGCTGTCCTTCCTAGCAGCACCGATGAGCCCAAGCACAACAAAATGCTGGTAGGTCTGTGCTGCTTTGTGTACTGGCCCAGGAATTTCTGCACTGTGCAATTTGTATGACTGGGGGTCTCAATGTTAAAGGGCTTCCCATATCACTGCACAATTTTTTTTGATGCATTTTCAATGTAATAACTTTAGCCTTTCTAACCAGAGATATAGTATTGTGCTCCTACTTTGCTGAAGTTCTTTAAATTTCACTGACAGACAGGTACACTAGAAAGATGCAATAGATCTTAGTTATCCATAAAAGACAGCTGAAAAGATACAGATATTTTAAATAAACAGCTCTCCCAGTTAAGTGAGAATTTAAAAATACATAAGGTTGGATTCTAGAATAAAAAAAAGAACCACTTCATATGAAATGCTATGTGAGAACTTACGCCTTTTACCACAATGGAACATCACATTGTATTTTATCTCTGGTAGAATGCCTCTGCATTTATGGAAAATGTGATAACCGAATAGACAGTGATGGGATCTGTCTTCCTGGCTCATGCAGAAGTGGATATACAGGGAAGTTCTGTGATAAGCAAATTGTTCCATGTGAGCCCTCCTTACAATTCTGTCATGCACATGCAGACTGCCAGCTTAGCAATGGTGCAGTGAGGTAAGTCAGTAACTTGTACCTAGTTAATAACAGCTATCATACAGCATTTCACCACTTTCTTGATTAAAACAGCACCATGTAGCACTACACAAACATCAACCCCTGAAATACTGCTATGCAGCAAATAAGCATGAAAATGCACTACCTGCACCTTCAGTTGCAAAATAGAAATTAAAGTTCTCAATGCCCTATCCTCAGCATTATATTTAACACTATTAAGATTAATACATATGGCTTTGACCCTTGTCAGAAGGCTGCCTTCTTACTGACAGCTATAAAGTCTCTTAGGAACTTAACTCTTATTTCTAACTTTCCCTAAGTGAATTAAGAATTTGAATCTTACTGGACGACAATGCAAATCCCATGCATTCATGGGCAGAAAGCTTAATCTGGCCAGCTCACGTAAGATTTGCATGTCACAGCACTATGGGCTTCAGCAGAGGCTATTCAGTCTTGACAGGTCCTGTCATAAAACTCTGTATTTCTACAGCTGTCTTGCCCTTACCTCTTGCTCACCTTCATCTCCACATGAAGCAAGCTTGCCTCTTACTGCGGTATGTTTGTAGTGAGTCATCATAGAAAGCAGAATGTGGGATGCTGCATAACATAAGTGGTTAAGAAAATTCTCTCCAGCCTAGGTTATTCTGGGGGCAGGGAAAGAGGGGAGCTCTCAGTCTTGCATGCATTTGAGGGAGAGTGGTATCTTCTGTGTCACAGAAAAAGAACTACCCCAGTTCATAATTAACTCAGCGCTATCAACTTACCTTTGCAAAGATCAAACCAGTGCAGAATTAATTTCACTCCCCATCTCATAGGTAGAGAATGGATCCCATATTTGACAGAAATAACCTAATCTCAAATTTTGGGAAGAAAAAAAAAGTACACACTTCAGCTATTGGCCATTGGTAAAGGTTACCAATTTTAAGCTGCCTATATACGTCACATTACAGAGGAAGACAATAGCTTAATTTTACTGCTGTCCTGTTACACACACCTCCTCTCTTTCCTACAGCTGTGTTTGCAAACCTGGCTATGAGGGAGATGGAATGACCTGCAGCAAAGTTGATCCCTGTGCTAGTTTAAATCCAGGTGGCTGCAGTACCAATGTAAGTAAGTGCTTTTTTTCACAGAGCCTGACACCATAGAAAAGAAAGCAAGTAAGAAAGGCTTGGCAAGAAACTTTTACAGAAGGAAGATTCAGAATTTTCAACTCCGGTTCAAGTTCTTTTCCTAGCAGTTTCATTGCTATTGCTTAGATAATCCTTACACCTAAAGGTGGATGCCACCTGCCTGTGTTGAACAATGCTAGGGCATTCCCAAGGTAAGCTGTGATACTTTCCTGCCGAAAAGTAGCAACGCTGTTCCATTTCATCCCACAGTGGAGATAAAGCTATGACAAGAGGAATTTTGCTTCTATTCAGAGGTGACGACTAAGTACCACATATCCAAGTTAGGAAATACAAAATATTTAATTGTTAGCTCAATTTCAAGTCAAGGTTTTGAATACCTGGAGGTATTTATTTCTCACAGGAACTGTTCAGAAGCCTGTGTGAATGTGTACACTTCCAGTGTGCTAACACCCGTTTCAACTGAGATGATTTTGTCTGACCTGTGCATTTGTCTCCCCCAGGCTGAGTGTATTCACACAGGCCTTGGAGTGTACGCATGTGCTTGCCAGGCAGGATGGACTGGTGACGGAAGAGACTGCTCAGCCATCAACAACTGCCTGCTGCCTACCTTGGGAGGGTGCCATGAAAATGCAACCTGCATATATGTAGGGCCTGGTCAGGTAAGTCCTCTCACATTTGTTCTCACCTTCTACATTAGTCTTCACTTAGACTGTTTTACCAGTGCTTCCTATCTGGTTTCTTACAAGAATTCTCATTTCACTCTGAGCCATAAGCTTATTTCTACACAGCTCTCTCCACCCAAAACAGACTCCTTCAGTTCCTATGCCAGTGTTCACTCCTAGGTAAATGTTTTTTCAGCAGCAAATACTTTTTACTAAGTACATTAGTAGGTTTAAAGTATGAAGGTCTTCTGGAGATGTAAATCAGTGTCATTCCACTGAAGTCAATGGAGCTACATGGATAAACACTGACTGAGAGACTCTAATCCACCAGGTCTAGAATACGTACACTATTTTAATCATTTTAATGCATTGTTGTGTTTTGTTGGAACAACAGAATGACTGCAAATGTAAAGACGGTTTTCGGGGGAGTGGAATTGAATGCACACCGATAAACTCATGTTTGGAACAAAATGGAAAATGCCATCATCTGGTGAGCAATTAATCATTGCCTGAACAAAGTGTTCAGATTCATATCACACCTCATCTGGCCTCCTGCACACACACCATAGAATTTCCTTGCCATTTCAAGCCTGAAGTTTCTGTATGAGAGAGAACAATGTTTTCTAAGCAGTGATACAGAGTACCAGAAATGCTATGTGCATTTCAGGATGGTACATGCACTGAGTACAGACTGCAAGGGCAGCTCCCAGTTCCACCTCTATGCAAGGGCTGTCTTGAGCCTGGGTTAAGCGATGGTTCTCTATTAGCAGTTACCATTTGGATGGAATAGTCTGTGTTGAGATGTTTTCCTAAGCCATACCTCTCTATGCAGACATCCATCAGCTTTATCAGTAGTCACTCTGTTGTGCTCAGTAGCATCTGCAAGAGCCACACTAGCACTCGGACCTCATTGCCTCCGTTAGGATGCTAAGGCAGAGAATGCAGGGGAGCAGAGGATTAGCAAGACTGATCTGCCTTAGGTGGGTGAAGAGACAGGGCCCAGGTCCCAGTTCCTGTAGGGAGAAAGTAAGAAAGGGTGAAGCAAGGGTTAGACTCCTAGGGTTAGTGCATGGTGGGCAAGTGATGGAGTTAGTACTTTTAGTTTGTGAAGCTGGAATGTACTGAAGGAGGGTGAGGATGTCCATGGAAGAAGGCATAGACATCCTTTGTTAAGGGAAGGGTATACATACATATCAGGAAGAGGGTTTACAAGCCATTTGCTTTTAGAACATACACATAGTTCTAAAATATACATGTTGCCACTATGAATAACTAATTATTTATGAAGCAAAGCATTCAAATGACCCTTGCATCTATTCTGGCCCAATACACATTATACGTACTCTGATATCTTGCAGAGCAGCATCACTGAATCTGCTGTTCTCACCCCTGGTAGAACCTGACACCTTTAATGGCCATACCCAAGCAAATTCAGTTTGGAAATTTCTAAATAAGAACATTCCTCCCTTGTTTCAAAACAGCACTTTATGTATATAACTATGTATTTATTCGATTCCACTGATTTCAGTACAACTAAAGAACATGCTTAAATGTACTACAAAGTTGACTACTTTTCTGAGTTAAGGCATTTTCATTTATTTAATTTAATCTTACTAAATTATACCAACACAATATATTTCGTTGATAACAGCTCTTGAGTAGTTTCCTGACTGACAAATTTTCTCTCCTTCTCTCTGGCTCAAAGGCAACTTGCCAGTTTGAATCTTCTCACGGCTGGGAGTGTGTGTGTCCAACAGGCTATGAAGGAGATGGTAGAATGTGCTATGGAAATACAGCAGAGGTAAGTAACATGGTCATGTTTTCTGCGTATAGGGACCTACTGCACAGTTCTTACACTAGATCTTAGCCAGAGTGATACCAAAGCCATTATAAACCATTAGAAAAAGATGATGCCCAACAGTGCTGTCTGCAGAGAGTGTTCCTGCTGGAGACTCTTGGCCTATGCAGAAACGGTCTGTTGTGTTTAGAAATATAGCTGGGAAAGGGGCCTAAGGGATCTGAGCATCTAACTGTAAGACGACTTGAAAAATGCCAGCCCCAGAGGCCTAATTTGCACAAGTGTGAAGCATGCACCTTCCAGCTGGGAGCTGCAAGCACCCAGCTCTTTTGAAATTCTGCCTTGAGCTACATCTTGGTTGAAATAGCCAATTTATCACATTAAAAAAACCTGTGCAAACTGGTACACAGACAAAACCAAAACAAGTCATTTAGTGAAATAAATACATATTTTACAGGGTAGGAAAAATGAAAATGTCAGCTGCCCCAGCCATTGGCAGTAATTATACCAGGCTCTTGGCACAATTTCTCATCCCCTCTCTTACCATCATCTATCCCTATTCTATGTACAGTGACAGAATCAAGGCTCTTCAATTGCAGGATGCTATATAAGATGCTGTACAAATATCAATCAAAACAATATGTCCCCTTTCAATTAATTTTGCGTTTAGTTAAGAAAAGATTTAGGTTTATATTACCAGAAAATAACTGCTTAGCCTAAGGTCAGGTACATAATATGCCTAAACAATACACAGCCTGATTTTCAAAACATCTGGTCGCTAAACCTGCTCATTCATGTCACATGAGCCAGGCCAGACACAGTGGGTCACCAGAGGCTATGGTAAAAGCACTTTGGTACAGATATCTCTAGCTTATGTATTCATTGCTCTCTCTTTCTGTCTCTAATCAGGAGTTATCTACTCTGTCAGAAGCAGCTGCGTTTAACCAATGGGTTAATGTAAGTACACTTCATGCTTGATTTTTAAGTCTATTCAAGCCTGTAGGAAAAAAAAAACCTGTGCCTTTTAGCCTTTGCAAATGGTAATCTCAAAGCAATATTCCCATCATACAGCAGAGGCCCAATTTCTGTGCAGACATCAGAGTGCTTCTCCCATCAGTCACAGCAGGGGCTGATCATCTGATTCTTAATTTCTGCCTGAAAACCAATTTCTCATCCCAAATTCAGACAGGTAAGGAAGCAACACAAGCAGCAGAGCAAGTTACAAGTCCACTCTGTGAGGCACGTGGCTGCATAAGCCATATCTTGCTGTGTTTTTAAGTACACCTTAGTCTCTATAACAGCGTAGAAGCAGCAGGGTACAAGCAGAGTCTGAATATGCCCATGAGCAGGTCCCTCCATCTTTCCTCATGCAGTAAATACACAGGCAAGTGGAGAGGGAAGGCAGTGCCTTTCCCTCCACATTTTCAGAGCTCTCTGCTAGGAAAATGCTACAGTATGGTACAGTATGGCTGGTCATTGTGCTGTCTGCTGCAACAAGCAAGAAGGAAAAAAATCAAAGTAGGTACTGGCTTGACTGAGGTGCAGGAAATCAAGAAGCAGGTTAACTTGTTTGGCTTTAAATTAGGGAAGAAACAATAGCTTAGATTTAAAAAAAAAGGAAAAGTTCTAGATAGATTGATTCTCACTGACTGCTTTTTCATGTGCTATTATCTATTACAAGGGCAGCAGTAACATTAGAGGTCCTATCCCATTGTGCTTGGCACTGTATGAATAAAGACTAAAAACAGTTTAAAGACTAAAACAGTTAATAAAGACTAAAAAGAGTTTGAAACCTAAATATAAAGAGAATATAGCAAATATAGGGCAAACAGAAAGAAATGGTAAGGTGTTAATAAACAGCATAAGAAGCAGGAGTCACAGCACTTTACTTGTTTCTGTGCTTTTCAAAGTTAGACAGCACAGGGGTCGTTAAAGCACAGAATTGCAACAGGGGCTTCAGAGAGCTAATTGGAAACTAAGCTACTGTCGCTAACTTAAACCTGTTATCTGCCTCTCTCTGTGCACAGACTGCAGCACCAGCAATTCTGAGGAGAGAAAAACTAATGAAGTTAAATAAATAAGCACAATAGAAAAGGCTGCTCACCTCGTACTGTACTCATTAGAAAATGAAGCAGAAAAAAAAAAACAGGGAGCAGATTATACAGGATCTATTGAAACAGGGATGTGGAAATTTCTGCAGCACTTCAAATAAATAGTATCCCTTAAATTAAATAATGGCAAAATTAGGAGGTATACTCATACTGCTCATAGTTGAGCATGAATGTGATGTTTACCACTTTTCATAACCAAGTATTTTTCTTGTCGGTTGGAGAGGGTGAGAAAGGGATGTCTGTTGCTATTTCTATTTTTAAATATTTGGAAGGTGATAGTGATGATGGCTAGAAAGAAAGATAGTATTAACAGAGACAAAATTCCTAGCTATTTAAGGGAGCTGATTCCTTTCTTGACTTCAAAACCAGTATGGGTATTGAAAGACTATCCAAAATAAGTCAGCTCCCAGGCAGCATACCAGCTACAGCAAGGAAGGACCCAAGCTCATACTGCTCCCTGAAGTTTTGCAGTATCAAAAATGGCAAGTTGTGGAGCCTGTGAAAGGTTTGGAGAAACACATGTTCAGCAAGACCATGTTCAAAAATCTTTAGCGTTCCTCTTTTTACCTCCCACAAAAATCCACTCAATTGGAAAAATCCTTTCACGCGAAGAATCTCCAAATCCTTAAAGCGGACACATGAAACGTGAATCAGTCCACACATATTGCAGAGCCCACATCCCTACATTAAAATAAGAGCTGTTGGCAGCTAGGAAATGGGACTTCCTAAACCCAGCTACAGTTGTGTCCCTTGCTAGTGGACATGGATATCACAGAATCACAGAATGGTTGAGGTTTGAAGGGCTCTCTGGAGATCATCTAGTCCGACCCCCCTGCTCAAGCATGGTCATCTAGAGCATGTTGCACAGGATCACGTCCAGGCAGGTTTTGAATATCTCCAGGGAAGGAGACTTCACAAACTCTGCTGGGCAACCTGTTCCAATGCTCAGTCACCCTCACAGTAGAGAAGTTTTCCCTCATGTTCAGATGGAACTTCCTGTGTTTCAGTTTATGCCCATTGCCTCTTGTCCTGTTGCTGGGCACCACGGAGAAGAGTCTGGGCTCATCCTTTTGACACCCTCCCTTCAGATGCTTGTAGACATTGATGAGATCCCCTCTCAGTCTTCTCTTCTCCAGGCTACCCGGGCCCAACTCTCTCAGCCTTTCTTCATAGGAGAGATGCTCCAGTCCTCTAGTCATCTTTGTAGCCCTCCATGTCTCTCTTGTACTAGGGAGCCCAGAACTGCACACAGTACTGCAGATGTGGCCTCACCAGGGCTGAGTAGAGGGGCAGGATCACCTCCCTCCACCTGCTGGCAACGCTCTGCCTAATGCAGCCCAGGAGACCATTGGCCCCCCTGGCCATAAGGGCACATTGCTGGCTCACGCTTAACTCGTCAGACACCCAGCTGCTTCTCTGCTGAGCTGCTTTCCAGCAGGTCAACCCCCCAGCCTGTCCTGGTGCATGGGGTTATTCCTTCCTAGATGCAGGACCTTGCACTTGCCTTTGTTGCACTTCACGAGGTTCCTCTCCCCCCACCTCTCCAGCCTGTCCAGGTCCCTGTGAATGGCAGCACAGTCTTCTGGTGTGTTAGCCTCTCCCCCCAACTGGCCCCTGGGGGACACCACTAGCTACAGGCCTCCAACTAGACTCTGCGCCACTGACCACAACCCTCTGAGCTCTGCCATCTAGCCAGTTCTCAATCCACTTCACTGTCCACTCATCTAGCTCACACTTCCTGAGCTTACCTAGGAGGATGTGATGGGAGACAGTGTCCAAAGCCTTGCTGAAGTCCAGGTAGACAGCATCCACTGCTCTCCCCTCATCTACCCAGCCAGTCATCCCATCCTAGAAGGCTATCAGATTGGTCAAGCATGATTTCCCTTTGGTGAATCCGTGCTGACTACTCCTGATCACCTTCTTGTCCTCCACATGCTTAGTGACGACCTCCAGGAGGAGCTGTTCCATCACCTTTCCAGGGATGGAGGGGAGGCTGACAGGCCTGTAGTTTCCTGGCTCCTCCTTCTTACCCTTTTTGAAGACTGGGGTGACATTGGATTTCTTCCAGTCCTCAGGCACCTCTCCTGATCTCCAGGACCTTGCCAAGATGATGGAGAGTGGCCTAGCAATAACATCCGCCAGCTCCCTCAGCACTCGGGGGTGCATCCCATCAGGGCCCATTGATCTGTGAGTGTCAAGTTTGGCCAAATGACCTCTAACTCGATCCTCCTCAACCAAGGGAAAGTCTTCCTTTCTCCAGACTTTCTCCCTGGTCTCCCAGGTCAGGGATTCCTGAGGGCTTGGTCATCCTGAGGGATTCTTGGTCATCCAGGCATGTCTCCTGCCCACTTTGCTGGACTTCTTACTCAGAGGGATGCATCCATCTTGAGCTTGGAGGAAGTGATGCTTGAATATTAACCAGCTCTCCTCTATCCTACTTCCTTCTAGGGCCCTACCTCATGAGATTCCTCCAAGTAGGTCCCTGAAGAGGCCAAAGTCTGCTCTCCTGAAGTCCAGGGTTACTGGATTCTACTTATTGCCCTGCTCCCTCCTCGTAGGATCCTGAACTCCACCACCTCATGGTCACTGCAGCCAAGGCTGCCCCCAACTTTCACATCTCCAACCAGACCTCCTTTGTTTGTTAGTACAAGGTCCAGCAGCTCACCTCTCCTCATTGGCTTTCCCACCACTTGTGTCAAAAATTTATCCTCAATGCTCTGCAGGAACCTCTTTGACTGTTTGTGCCTAGCTGTGCTGTCTTGCCAACAGATGTCAGGGTGGTTGAAGTCCCCCGTGAGAACCAGGGCCTGTGATCGTGAGGCTACTTCCAGCTGTCTATAGAAGGTCTTGTCGACTTCCTCTTCCTGATCAGGTGGCCTGTAGTAAACCCCCACCACCGTGTCACCCATGTTAGCCTGCCCTTTAATCCTTACCCATAGGCTCTCAACTTGCTCTTCATCCACCCCGAGGCAGAGCTCCACACATTCTAGTTGCTCCCTCACATAAAGGGCAACTCCACCACCTCATCTTCCTGGCCTATCTTTCCTAAAAAGCACATAGCCACCCATGACAGCATTCCAGTCATGCGAGCTATCCCACCATGTCTCTGTAATTGCAACAAGATCATGGCCCGGCAACTGCACACACATCTCTAATTCTTCCTGCTTATTCCCCATGCTGTGCGCATTGGTGTATAGGCATTTCAGACAGGCAATCGAGCATGCAGGTTCCTCAGGAGAGGTGCAAGAGGATCCTCTATAGCCATGTCCCATGCGAACTCCCCTGGCTGCATATCCCTTCTACTTCTTGAAGAATCACAGCCGTGTTATATAGTCTTATTCCAAATGACGCCCTTGTGTTTTATGGGTTTCTTATTTTGTGGATCATAATCTTTCTATCTGTTAAATACTTTGAAGTGCTCTGTATGAACAGTTTACTTGAAGATATCGGTAAGGAGCAGTGATCATCACACTTTAAAAAATATATATTAAATTATATAAAACACACAGACTAACACTCATGGGAGGTGACATCTCTTGTGTGCTGCATAATAAAAAACAGTTTTGAGCTAAATGTTGCTTATGCCCATTAAATGCTGACAATCTATTCTGTAAAATACAGATGCTCATTCGCCGGTTTTGATCAGTTCTAAGTCCTTTTGCTCATGTCAATGCTCAGTATAGTCGTTCTTCCTCTCCAGGCCAGTCACAAAGCACATCCCATACTACATCTTGCTAAAAAGTCACTGGCTGCTGTTGAGATAGTCCTTAGTTCAAACCATTTTACCCTTTTTGCTTTCATGCAGGAGGCTGAGATAAACTCAGTGTTGTCCACTACCTCAAATCTAACTGTCCTCGTGCCTTCTCTTCAAGCAATTGAAAACATGGATGAAGATGAGAAAGCGTTTTGGATGTCAAAGAGTAACATCCCAACCCTACTGAAGTACGTTGATGGTTTGTCTTTATTTTTTTATGAACTGGTTTTCATTACAAGCAAATTTTTGTTTTGAAGTCACTAGAGCAAGACAGCTCTTACATTTTTAAGGGAGGGACATAGGATTCTCCTTTTAGTTACAGTGATATAAATCTCTGTAGCAACTCCTCTGAAAACATAGACCTTACTTGTTTTATGCCAGTAGTGTTTAAAGATCAAGCTGAGATGACAGCGTAGCTGAAATAGGCACTGTACAAACAATTCCTGCTTTAAACTCCAATTTTAGCATTGAGCACTAAGCATATTTATAGGAAAATTTGAGATAATGCAAAACCTTCAAATCCAGTTAATTTCCTTTAGGTATCACATGTTGACAGGCACTTACAGCTTTGCTGATTTCCAGAATTTATCGTCCTCTGATATGCTGCCAACATCTCTACAGAGCAACTTCCTACGCTTGTCTGAAGAGAATGGGGTGAGATGACTTGCAAACCACTGGGTTATCATACACCAAATTGTGACTGTCACTACTGCCAGTGTTCTTATATTACAAAACCATACAGATACTATATACCTGTTTAAAAAAAAAAAAAAAAAGACTGTATTATAAAAATTAAAGGCATTGATAACTATATTGGACCCTGTGGGAGGAATATTAACTTGTATCTTCTCCATCACTTTACCTAGCTGGTATTTGTTAACAACATTATTTGTTGCTAATTTCATAGTACTGGCTGCAAACTCTGAACAGTCTTCTAGCTAAGTGGAAATGTAGTCCCTGCCTGGAATAGCCTATGAACTACTTTAAGACAAAGCAAGTCAAGGAAATCCACTAGCTTATTTTAGGGAAGGCGGGAGGAAGTAGTGATACTGTGCACGTGTCTGCATGTGCAACTTGATAGTCCCAAGCCACACAAACATATTTTAAAATGTAAATAACTAATGCCAACTGACAGCCCCTCCTCTCAGTCCTTTTAGTTAGTACTCCACATTCTGAGGAGGATTTTCTGGAAATACGTATGGCACATTTAAGGACATCAACCCCTTTAAGAGAGGGAAAAATCCTCCCTCTCTTCCCCCCAGGGAAAAATGATGAAGGGGCTCCTTCAAAGTAGCAGAGACACAGAAGTGCATGAATCAGAGCACATGGAGATCAGAGCTCAGCCACCCTGTGAGGGGTGGAAGGTGAGCGCTCCTACCCCAAGTAACTGCCCCCCCCCCCCCCCCACGGCAACCCACCTTTCCCACCGCCGGAGCAGAGCCCCAAAGCCACCCCTTCTGCGTGCAGTTTCCTGAGGGCATCCTCAGCCTCCAACACAGCCTGGCACTAGCAGAGTCACAGTGGACTTCTAAGCAAGCATTTGGAAAGGCATGGAAATTCATAGCACCAATGGCTGGGAAAATAATACCGTTGCAATGTGTCAGTAAATCCTTTCTCTTTTCCTCCTTTTAGAACATCACGGTTGAAGGAGCTCACATTGTAGTTGGCGATGTTGCATCCACAAATGGGATCATACATGTTATTGATAAGGTATACGACCACATAGGGAGGATCTATTCCTCTGCACCACAAGCAATGGAAAAACCCAGCAGCGCCTGAAAAAAGCATTTATGTGGAACAGCATTTTCTCCTACATCTGATCCTTGTAGCTGCAAACACAGCATGTGCACATATGCTAACATGGGATATCTGCTCCATTTTCAGGTTCTGACTCCACCCCGAAGCACCATAATGCCAAGGCTGCTGGCCCGCTTAGAACAAATGCCCGATTACTCCATTTTCAGGGGCTACATTATTGTAAGCTTTCACATTCTTTTAAGAATAAGAGTTTACTTGCAGTAAACTCCAGTTTACTTGCATTAGGGCCAGTATCAGAACATCCGTGGTCATTCTGATTTTTTCTGTGTTTTTCATGATAGCAATACAGCCTAGCAGATGAAATAGAAGCTGCAAACACGTACACAGTGTTTGCCCCAAATAATGATGCCATCAAAAATTACCTAAGGGACAAAAAGTCTACTCTGGTATGTATTATTTACATGACAAGTCTTAACAAATCAATGTTTCATTTCAATTTCAAGTGGATTGAGTGAAAGGTGACAGAAATAGGAAAAGGGGTTAGTTTTCCAGAAATCCAGTAAGTTTGATTTTGTTTTTAATGGCAGGAGGTGAGGAGGGGTGGATCCATCTATATTTTCCTGGCTTTCTGGAAGAGTCTAGCTATTTGTTCTGGGTTTTGTCCCTCTCTTAATTAAAACAATGCTAATAATAGCCAAGACATTTCATCAGTAGACTTTTTTTTTTTCCTTACATTAATAATGTCACAAAACACTCAGACTCTTTCTTAAGACTATCCAGATGTTTGCCCCCATCAGTCCTGGGCTCAGTCCCTGAGCCACTTTGCACCAATGGTTTCTAGTCCTGGCTTAAAAGTACTATTGGTCAGTCCGAGGGTTGTGCTGAAGATGGCTCAGTCCAGCTTGGTAGAAAAGCATCCCCAAGCAAACCCCATTGCTGCTGCCCCTCTCCTAGGAGCCCCACACAGGGCTGGTGCCCAGCCTGGCTGCCAGCTCCTCCTCTTGCCCCTGTGGCTGCCCAGCACAGACATAGCTACCTCCCCTGCTTGGCACAGGCCTCATTTCCAGAACCAGTTTATATTAATTTGACAGCGCACCTCTGGCCAGTTTAATATCCTTTATTCTTATGCCAGCACTGTGCTTTAGCTGAAATAACTTCTCTGTTTCTCTGACATTTATGCTCTGAAGCATTTACAAGGCCAAGCAGCCTTTTCAAGCCTGTCAGTCTCCTCTCAAGTTAAGCTATCAATTTCCTGAGTCATCCCAGCAGTTCTCTTCCCATTTGCTCCAGTTTGAAATCTCTTTATTGAATACAAGTATCTAGAATCACACCTAGCAGATGAAGCTTCACTGGTAACTCATACAATGACATTATTACTTCCCCATTGCTTCCATACTTACCCTGACACATTATGTCCCTATTTTTGTGGTCTCCATAAACAGAAGGAAGCTGAGGAACACAGATTTCAAATGACTCGCACCAAAACATTTACTTCAACTGGCAGATCCACAGCAAAAGTTATGAATACTTCCTCACTGGAAGAATTCACACACAATCAAACTAAATCTGCTCAAATGACTTCTGAAAGCTAGTTCAGTTAGTTTCGTGACACAACAATATAATTTCTGCATCACTATAAAAAGCATCTGTAAGTGAAACCTTGGTATGTACCTAGCTTTAAGACATCCATCCCATTGGGTTTGGGGTTTTGTTGCTTTTAATATTAGTTAAATACACAATAAGGCAGCTAGAAAAACAGCAAAGCCTCTGTCTCCCAGAGCTTAGGCCAAAACATTGGCTGAAATCACACATACAAACATTTCCAGGCTCAGGCCTTCAGCATCTAAACAGCTCTAAATATGCCATCTTTCTTCAACTCCTTTCACAGAATATGCTCTGTTACTAACTGTGAGTGGTTGGAATTTTTTAGCAGTCCATCAGCCCATCCCGCAGTGCTTTGGCGCTGCTGAGTTAAGGCAGTGAATAGGAGAGAAGGGGATCTGAAGAAATGTGTTTAATTTTGTCTTGTCTTTGAGTGAAGTAAAGCCAAGCAATGACTAATAGTTCAGGCTTATGCTGTCCATATTTTTCTTATCTGCCCCTGTTAGGCAGTTAATTAATATATCTTATGTGTATGGAAACAAATACACACACACACAAATCCTTTTCATTTCCACTGCTATGCACTTACCAGTATGTTCTGTCTTTCTTCCATCCTCCCACCTTGTCTGGTGTGGCTATCTGACAAAGGAAATCAGAAAATAACTGTAAGGTTAATTCTGTCTGAGCTTTCTTCTTTTAATATAGCACATCAGGAGAACTCTGCCTCAGAGGGAAGAGTTTGGTGCAGTGAAGAGACCCCATTTCTCGACCTGGGGGAAGAAAGGTTTTGTTCAGATAGAGTGGTGGCTTCTCACTCTGCTGGTGATAAATGATAGAAATGAAGGTGATGAGAGTTAACTTTTCCTCCAAATCATCCAAGTCAGAAGGATTAAATAGAGCTAGGCAGTGATAGAGGCCTACGCTTTAGTAGATTAGATCGACCTTAATTCACATCGTCTTGCCTGCAAATATTTTTTTGTCAAACCTATGGAAACAAAACAGAATGGGTATCACCTGATGAGATGTAAAGATCAGCATTACATCACTCTGGACAAAGCCAGGCAACATCACAAATATCGCAGCCTGAGGTTGTGTCATGCTTTCAAAAGCTTTTGAAGGAGCTGATGGACAGGAGCAGTATGAACATTCGGAATGCAACAGTATTTCTCACAAACATTTATTTTATTGCAAATACATATGAGCTGCTGTGAGACGAGATCTGTTGGCTAAACAGTCCTCACGTATACAAAACCCATTCCACTTCTACTTTCTCCTCCAAGTCAGGGAGAGCTGTGGGAGTCCCCTGCCCTGGAACAAGACACAGAAACCTTGAGAAGCCCTCACCAAAAAATTGATATACAAAGAATAATTTCATAATATCCATGAAAATGAATATAAACCAGCAATGAGTTGTAGAAAACTTTCCAATTAACAAGTGTGGCTATAGCACTTTGACTGAGGGTGACCTTAAAGCTTTCCCCTCCCCAAAAAAACACAGAAAAAACCTTTTGACATACCCTATATGACAAAGTATCGTGAACTTTCATTTATAGGCTTTTCAGGGGGTCCACAGGAAAAAACGATGCGTAAGGGGAAATCTGTCAGCCAGCCCTATGCACAGAAAGGGGTACTTCCAGACATAAGTAAACCTTTGGTCCCTCCAGTTCAATAGTCTTTCCTCCTCCATGGCTGACAGAAGTTGCTCTATGACAGGAAAGCAGACGCTCAACAGTAAGAAATCTGAAATAGTCTGCCCAGTGTTCTTAAGTTATTCTGAATTTCTTCTTAAATTCAGGCAATCTATGTTTGGCTTATGCCCTAAAAGTCTCATATGCTAAATAACTATTCATACTTTTTTTTTAAAACGTAACTCTGAATTTAATCATGTGTTTACAGGATGAGGACCATATCCGATATCATGTTGTGCTGGATGAGAAGCTCCTGAAGAATGACCTGCACAATGGCATGCACAGGGAAACCATGCTCGGGTTTTCCTATCAAGTTGGATTCTTCCTCCACAGCAGCGAGGTACCATTGTCTGCACTTACTCAGAGAAATAGGTTTCCTGCTTTTTACTGATCCAAGCTTCAATTTTAAACTGATATACAGCCAAAAAAAAAGCCGTGCACCCCATATTAGCCTCTGGACTTAAGTCGCACAAAAGATGGCACTAAGATGCAATGCCTTGCTCAGACCTGCTTAATTCAAAGTCAGCCTGGAAGGGATTTTCGATTGGATTTTATTTCAGTTATGCTGTCAAGTTCTAGCATCACATTTTAGAAGAAATTGTGGACTTGCATATCTAGCAGCTACAAGCCTGCATCACAAAGCAGTCATTAATTGAACTTCCAAGAGCCATTAGAATCCTGCCTTCAATTATAAAATGCTAATTCTATTTTCTGTGGATTTACTCCACTTTCAATCCCAAGAGCTCAAAGCACTTGGCAACATATACGAATTGCTCTTCAAAACCACTCATTAGAGAAGAAGTCAAGGCATAGAAAGATTAGGTGACCCCCTCAATTCGGTGGCATAGCCAGGAAGGGAACTTAGCCCTTCTTTGTCTCAAAGCTCCCTCAAGGCATAGGCAAAGGAGGACAGAAAGCTCCTCACGAACAGTTTTGGCCCTACTGCTTGCTGTGCTCATGGCAGAATCTTGGAAAAGCATCTGCTCTGGGGGCTGCCACTGAAGAGGGCACAAGGGGAACATGGGGTAGCAGCCCTTGCTATTATATGACAAAGCCCTCCTTGAAGGAGCTGCTGCTGGGAGGTCTCCCCTGCAGCTCCCATATGCCCCACAAGCAGCAAACCCCCACACTGGGTTTCTTCAGGCTCTTTCCTCAAACCCTGCACCTTTACACCCTGCAATGGGAAGAGAGGCACTCTGGCTGCCCCTTCACATCCCAGCTAAGAAACTTGAACTGGCTGCTTCTCATCTCATGCCCTCCTTCACTTCTACACCCAATCCAGCACCAACTGGGATGTAAGCAAGTGCTTAAAGTTAACTATGTTCTTAAGTTTTCCTGAAGCAAGACTTGCACGTTGCTCCTTCTTTCACTTGCTACTGCTCCAGTTACCATATAACCTGAAAAGCTCTGCTGCCTTCTAACTGATTGCTTTTCTTTTGCAGCTGTTCGTAAATGATGCACCTATAAGCTATGCAAATGTTGCAACAGACAAAGGAATTATTCATGGATTGGGAAAAGTCTTGGAAATCCAGAAGAATAGATGTGATATTAATGATACTGTGATCACTGTAAGTTGGTCCTCTTTGTATAGGTGCTTTAAGGAGCGTTGTAGAGGTCATTAGCAAAATACAGCTAAAATGTACAGGATACATTATACTGTGTTTGCTGGTAAGAGATGCATGCATTTTCTATGAAGATATTCCTAGCAGATTTTTGGCATCCTGTTGAAACTGCTTTGATCCTGCAGTTAGGGTACTGACAATCTGGATAAGATATAATTAGAATGGCACAGGAATAAGTTTATTCCTGAGGTTTAATTTTCAGAAAATAACAACAATGCACTATTTTAAAACATCTTCTTAGCCAGGCCACTTGTTTATAATGTAAGCAAGTAGAAAATAACTGAAAAAAATGTTTTTCCTTACTAAGAATGTTATCTTTTCATTCCAGATATAGATTACCTCTGCAAATACATATTAACTCCTCTTGCTCTCTGAATGAAGCATTCTCCATCTGTCATGTCTTTTACATATCAGAAACAAATTGTTTTTACCTTCCTCCAAAGAATAGGATGTGGTTTCCTCAAACTGACAGGGAAAAGTTTCCTTTCTGTCTTTTCTCCTAAGTGGGCAAAATAGGACAACAAACAAACAGTGCACTTCCCTACCTATGGAAAATGATACCATGTACAAGCTAGACAAGGAAGACAATGCAAGATTTGTGCTCTGTCTAAAGGAAATTTAAACAGGAACAAACTTTGGGCACCTAGTTCTTTTCCTTGGGATACAGTCCCATGTTTGAATATATTTCACTCTGGAAGCTTTTCCTTAGCTTTGCCCAATCAGGTACTAGGCTTCTCACATAGTTTTCCAGAGGAATAATTTTCCAGGGGAAAACAAAAGACTGATCAGAATCAGAAGGCACTTAAACATACATTTATACGTTATTAAAACAGAGAGAACATAAGTACGTAGTTAAAAAGGAATGACATTAAACATGTGCCTACATGCACGAACTGACCTTACACATGCAAATAATTTGAGGTTACATGTGCACTGACATTTGTAACATAAGATATACCCACGGTACGAGATTTCCCCAAGCTGCTGTTGCCCTTGTGTCACAAGAAATCTGTATCTGAGCCCAGGATTTGCTCCTTATTGTCCTTTCCTTGGGAAGCATTTCCTTAGGAGAGCACAGCAGAATGTCTAATAGAGCTTTCTTCCCTCTTCTGCTTTCCCTTGGGGGAAAACCTCCTTTTGGAAGTCCCTACAGACCTTCTCATGGGGGTGTTCTTCCTTGCTGGACCTTCCAGCTACCTTGACCATCTTTACCAGTCGGGTTATCCTAGGCTATGTGAATCCTGCCTCCCTCTGTGGATACGATTAGGACTATACTTTGATTTCTTTTTAATAGGATTCCTACGATTAGGAATATTCTTTAATTTCTTTCTGTCTGTAGCTCTGTACAGTCTTTATTAACTACATTCCATTGCTGTTTCTGAAGGAAAAGTGCAGGCTTTGTTTGCAGCCATCAAGCTGTCCTCCAGGAACAAAAGAATTGGTAAATATTTTATCATTAATACTAAATATTTTTTGGTAAAAACCGAGCAGAGACATTTAATGCTGCGTGCTTTTAGTTTAATTGCCTCAGTTTCAACAAGAGTTATGCTAGTTACTTTGGCCTGCTACATACATTATTTACAGTCAACAGACCCAATCTACCCCTGATTTAAGCCAGCCTGGGAGCAAGGGAGCAGAATCAGGAGCAGCTTAAAGACAGTGTTGCCTTTAAAAACTAATCACTAGTTGCACTGAGGCACCTGAAGACTCCTCCAACCAAAAAGGTTACCTCTGCCCTACAAAACTGTAAGGGACCTTGAGCATGGTCTGGAGTATGTTTGCAGCAGGAGAAATTACAGAAGCTGGTTTTTGCCCTCTGTGCCATAGATGTACAGAAGGGCAAAGTCAACCTGGCCCCAGCAGTGCTATGGGTGAGAGTCACAAGGAGACTTGGACACTAACAGTTCAGACGACCAGGCCCAACGTATAAGAGCTGTGGATGTTTAGTGGGCCTCTGTGAACCATGATGAGACGTAGAGTCTTTTTCTGTCTAAATTCCTCTGTGAATTTAGTTCCTCTGATGGGATCATACAGCATGTTTTGCCTTTGAACTATCTTTTAATTAGACTAACTGCGTCAGTAATAGGATTCCAAAAGTGATCAAGTTCCTACTACTCCATTAAAATAATTGGCTGGCAGTCAACTAAAGTACAACTAAAGTACTCGTAAGTAAAACTCAAAAACATTAACACTTCATTTATAATGACCAGCTGGATGCTTTATCTGAATCTCCTGACAGGTGTAGAACAAGGCTGGAAGTCTTTGAAAAGTACGCTTTCAGAGTGGTGTCCGGACCTCAAATAAAGTGTATCGACATCTATTTTTGCAGTATTTTAGCATTCAGTTTTCCAAACCGAATTAGGAAGAACAAGAAATGTATCAGAAAGAAAAAAGAAACAAGTTATATTTCAAACTGCAGAAAAGTTTCTGTTCAATTCTGAGCAAAGGCAATATTAGATGCAACTTTTAAATGCCATAGGGCACTGAGCTGAATTGACTATATATGCTTTAGCAAAAATCATTTTAGCTAGTGCTTTCTTATTTCTCAGACTATATCCTTCGATTTCGTAGTGAATATATGACCCGGAAAAAGTAAGCCATGCATAAAGTTAACATCCAGTTTTTTAAAAACATTTAAAAGTAGCTGATCAATATTACACAAAAGTGCAGCTGTTTTTCTGATTTCTGTTCAGGCAGGGGAGAAGAAATATTGTATCCTTTCTGAAAACAGGAGAATATACACCATCCAGATTGGATGCCAGCCAAAATGTGCAAAAACCGTAATTGTGAGTATTTAACATCGTTCCTACTATTTGTATTGCAGTAAAATCCAGGAACCCCCATCCCTGAACCCTACCCGCCTTGTGTTAAGTCACTATACATGCAGTAGATATAAGCCACTTCCTGACAAATATATTTCTAGGCCTTTTATTTGGCCGGCTTCCGGGTCCAGCCCAGACTGGAGGTTAAAGCCTGCTGATTGCGGCAGTAGCGGAACAGCAGGGAGCTGTGGCAGTACAGAGGGAGAGGGAGTTAAAGGAGGGCAGTGCTGCCCTTCACCATAGCACTCCTTCAACTTTTCCCCGGGTCAGTGGTGGTCACCCGAGTTGCACCAGGGACTGGGACTGGTAGTCAGAGCCCAGCCACAGTGACGAGCAAGGCCAGGGGGAGCAGACACTATTGCTGAAGCTCTGCAAAAAAGACAGTTCCCTGGCTCATCCATGCCCAGGAGACCACATCTGCCTGCTGTGTGCTTTCCAGCACACCTGGATGGGGCCTCTGCTACCCCGATTCTGACCTCCAGGACAATACTTCTTTGTTTTCAGACCAAGGAGTGCTGTGCAGGTTTCTTCGGGCAGCAATGTCAGCCCTGTCCCGGGAAAGCAGGGAACGCCTGCTTCGGGAATGGCGTGTGCGTGGACGGCATCAACGGCACGGGTGCATGTGAATGCGGAGAGGGGTTTGTTGGCACAGCCTGTGAAAGCTGCGTGGAAGGCAAATACGGCCACAACTGCGATCAAGGTATTGAGTGCCTCTGAGCCACACAGACACCTTGGCTGACCTTGTCAAACAGTTGTATCACTAGCAGCAGTTCAAGCTTTAAGGAAAACGCCAAGTATTGCAAGATTTAAAATTAAGTCACCATGATTACCAACCTACATATTCACGTTTAAAAATAAGGTGTTTTCCCTCAACTTTCCATCTGACTCAGGCAAAGTCCCTTGATAGTTCTCTGAGGGAAAGGTATAAACCTTTCCTTTAGTTCTTCTAACTGTATCCATTCAAGATCCTGGAAAGTGACATCTTTCTCAAGGTAATAGTCCTGTCATTAACTCATTTTCTTTCTCCATTATGGTATTTTCTCTCGTATCCCTTGTTCAGAGAACTCCTTGCTTACGGACAACGTCTACTAGTCTTGCAGATTACAGCCCTGACAAAGCATTCAACATGGATAATCCTCTTTAACACCGCTTTTTCACCAATATTTTCCTGTTAAAATGTAGGTTTCAGTTCTTTTATTTGGGAACAGAGGAAAGATAAGATTCTCAATTTAGATTTATTCTGTAGGAAGAAGCCAGTAGGCACAAGCCAAAAAACATTTCTCTATACAGTTTAGAGCACAACTGGCAGAAGGTGCAATAAGCAGAATATCTTTGGACCATTCTCCTGCCCTTTCCATCACTGACTTGCTGTGCACAAGCTGTTATCCCTCGTGGTGCAAGTGATTTTCCCCCGACCTCTCCCCACAGTGTGCACTTGTGTCCATGGGAAATGTAACAGTGGGATTGATGGGGATGGCTCCTGCGAATGTGACATCGGTTGGAGAGGAGTGATGTGCGAGAGCGGTGAGTGTCATCTCTCCTTTCTCTGGGGAAGGAAGTGGGCGTTTTGGAAAATGCTGGAACTGCAGCCATGATCAGATCCTAGTGCAGAAGGTCCACGAGGACTACCAGTTACCAGCAGCTTCCCATACACAATGAAATAAGGGCAAAACACTGGTATATTCAGGCCTGTGCTCAAGGAATTGATCCTCGTACTAACAGAAAGCCGGCTGAGTTATTACTCATCAGACTTAAATGCATTACTTAGCTAATTATCTAGATGTGTCACACACTGTCCCAAAAGAATATCACATTTGTTAAGAATGTATATTTTGCAGAGCAGGGTTGCCTAGCACATTTTGATCCTCAGATCAAAAGCCTCTCAGGTGTTTCAGTCATTCAGTCTAGCTATACGATGTTGGATATTAATTTATGTTCTCTCCTTCATATAATAAAAACTGCCAAGTGTATCAGTTTCTGTTGATCTAGTATGGCTACTATAACTGATTAAATTATGTTATCATATAAAATATATGTAATACCCATTTCAAAACTAATTATTTTGTGTAAATAGTATGAATATTATAAGTTAATGTTAAATTTTAATTGTATAAACACACTAACAGTAATATTCAATACCTATTTTAAATTTACTCAGGGAAAAACAGTACTCAAAGGAACTGTATAGTTAATGTTGATGGAACTTCAGTGGGATCTGAGCAACTTTCAGTTCCTTTCAAAAATCTAAACTTATATAATTAATCCCCACGTGCAAAACTCACCTGAGTAAAGATGAATAACAAGTGAAATACTTTCCTAGTGATATGATGGCACACCTCTTCCTCACCACAGAATTTAAATGGTTCCGAATTATCTGTACACACAGAGTCGTTTAGCCAAAGGGAGGGCTGGCTTCCTTCGGAGAGAGAGAATCCCTAATGGAAGAGCAACAGACTCTAGCTCTGTGTGGTGGTAGTAAAAGAGTGGGAAACTAGAAGGCTATTGACCTGAAAGGCTCTGATCCCTGCTTTGTTTTTTTGTGTTGCAGAAATCAAAGATGATGCATGTAACACCTCATGCCATACCAGTGCTAAGTATGTATGAAATCTGCTTATTTGGAGGAGTGGGGAGAGAAAGAGGGTCCTTTGCAAAGCAAAAAGCAATATTACTCTTCAGCAAGATTCTCCACAGCACAGAAAACACTGAAATTTTCTGCCCCAAGGATAAGGACAGAGAAAGTGTCAGGACACTCCTGCAGTAGGAACAAGGCAGAAGGAACAGAGCTGAGAGAGAAACCCAAGGGAAAAGCCGTAGAGAATAGGGATCACTACTCCTGTTGCTGCCATAGAAGGGAAGGATGCAGGCAGTTACTTATGCTGTCGAAAAGGGGGTTTCCCCAGAAATTGCTGCTACTGTGCATACCCTGTTTTTCCTACAGCATCAGCAGGCCTGCCTTTCCAGGGATCTGGCGTGGGCAAAGCAGGTGCAAGACCACAGTCTGCTGGGGCAGTTGCCACCTTCAGCTTTGCTTGCAGCAGTGCATAGTGCTCATATTTCCACAGGCTGCACCCAGGTTACTAACTCCCTCCTGAGGTGTCCAAAATTCTGACAACTTGCAATGCTCCCTAATTTTCTGGAGCCTGGCACCACTTGGCAATGTTCATATGATATTCATGAACCAGGCTGAAAAGTTCAAAATGTTCATGTTAAAAGGGGAAATAAATGGGATGCTGCGGAAAGAAAAACGTGAGATATGTCCTAAAATGCACTATACAACAAAATAGAATCTTCAGCACTAAAGAGAAGAGGGGGACAGGGTCACAAAGGTGGATTTCAGAAGTAGGTTTTACCTGCCCCTTCTGCTTCCTCCCAGCATCATCACAAGCATAGCTAAGAAAAACCATCAGCACTAGGGACTACACCAAAAGGAGCTGCATTTGACAAGAAACATCTCTCCTTTTCTCTTTACGTCAAAATGTACCCAAAAAAAATGCTCTCTGCTGTCTAGCACTAATACAGTGAGACTGAAACCAATTTTCACAGCAGCAAGTTACCTCCAATTCAGCCATTTACTGAAGTGCACTCACTCCGTTGTTGACCAGACAGCAAGATTTCTGTAACTGAGACACCAAAAGAACAGGGAAAGATAATTGGAATGTCACCTCATTTTTTGGCAACAATTACTTTATAGCAGCAGAGAAATCAGAGACAAAACCCCTTTTCCAGGATATAATTCTTTCTCTCTCCTTGTGTGACCTGTAGTTCATAGCAGTGATATTTCACCAGGCTTTTTGGAAAAATTCCTACTCTCACATATACTCAGTGGGATCCCACACTTGCTGGGGTCAAGATTTAGTTTCTGACAGTAAAAGCAGATTCTTACCCATCCACAACTGTATTCCTGTATGTTCTAGGACTAGACACAGGCATGACAGAAGTGGGGGAAGAGTGGGATCGTACTTGTAATTCTGTGGCATTGTCACATGATAACAGCAGGCAGCAATCCCTATATTGACCAGTGTTTATGAGGCAGGAAAACACCACTTGCATACAGTCAAACTTTCCAGAAAAAAAAAAACTTTAACCTGGGGCCCCCAAAAGTCTGGCTACAATTCCTGGGCATCAGCTGTACTATGTTCTTCGATAAACTACACGTGTGCACAAAAAAAAATTTTCCACACAGTTTTTGGCTAAGCAGGAACACACATTTCTGGTGTTCAATGCGAGAAGATAGGACAGTTCCATGCCCAAAGCATACTGTTCAATACTGAAAATAAAACATCCAAAATACATTCTGTAAGTTTGATCTAGGTTCATGTTAATGGTTATAACTACATCATACCGTAAGATTAAATACCTCCTTATTTCTATGCAACATTACCTTCAGAACAATACACAACAAGGACTGTACCAGAGACGTGACTACTTTTTTCCCCTTATGTCGTTTCCCTCCTTTCACTTCTGTAGCTGCCTCCTTCTACCGAATGGCACTGCCTATTGCAAGTGTGCAGCTGGGTTCAAGGGCAACGGGACATTCTGTGCAGGCAAGTGGACTTTGTTTCCTACCTTTTGAAAGAAAATGCCTGAAGCACTCTGTGGTGATGGTGAGACGGAGGAGCTGGTGAGAGATGAGCACTTCCCCATACACTGAGTTAAAAAACAGGAATTGCTGCCAGATTGCTCAAAATGAATAGAGTGCAACAGGTGCAGGTTCACAGCAAGCAAAGGACTCAAAATCTCCAAGCTGCAAGGTATTGTGCTAATGGAGATCAGAGAACAGGCAAGATACTGTACACAGCCTAGGCCCCATTTTTTGTAGAGCAGTGATGTCTGGATTATGTGTTTTTCTCCTTTTCCAACAAAGCCAAACAGAGGCCAATTCAGGGTACAATAGCACTTCTAGCTATTGGAAGCTATGTAGTCCTGTTATATTGTCAGCTTTCTGAACTTGCACAGATTTCTGGGATGACAAGATCAACTTTGTTAGACAACGAACCTCAAAAAGAGGCAATTGCAGCTTATCCTAGGCGTTCTTCTGAGAGTATGGGATATCCAGATTTACAAATTAGCCTTCCTGCTGTGGTGATTGTAATTAATTTTTATAGTTGCTCTACCTAATTCTTAGTTGATTAAAATACTAATGCTCTTAGGAACAGGAGCATATGTGTCTAATAACAACGGCTAGCAGGGTCCTAATACAAGATCTTAGCACCCCTTACTCTGGCTGCCTTGCTTTTCTCTTCTGACACAAATCAAGCAAAAAGCCAGTTTAATCTACTGATGGGAAACACTCCACATGCAGGAAGTCCTAGGTGACATAGATCTCTTATAGTGCCTCTGTACTCACCTTTACTCCCCTATACTGAATTATTCCTGTGCAAAAAGGATTATGGGACAGGTCATCTCCCCAGTCTACACATTCCAGCTGCTGAAACAGGAATCTGAGGTTATTTGAAGAAAAAAACAAAAAAACAAAAAACAAAATACAAAAAAAGAGCTGGTTTCATTAACGCAGGAGATCAGAAAAGGCTCCTATCCTGCTGTCTGAGTAATTAAGCAAGGTCCATTTGCAAGCCTCTGACTCATCTAGAATTGCAGAAATGGCACACGTTTGTGTTTGAATAACCCAAGGGCTGCAGAACCAAGATTTAGAGAGACCCACATGTTTCTGCTTCCCTGTCCCTCATTCCTCATCCAACTAGGACTTTTTGTCACAGGAGGGCCAGACCTCCTGCAAGGCAAGGCCACTTGATCTGTGCAGAAAAGGGAAAGCTAAGGGAAAGCTTCAAACACCCCTCTAACCTAATTAAGAACGTGAAGGATCCTTCTTTATTGCTCTAGTTAGAAGGTGCAGAATGAGAAGATGGGAAGTTACTGAGAGCCAGTCCTGGATGAATTCTTACTTTCCACATTCCTCAGCTTTCCCTCTTGTTATCAGTAATGAATAGTAAATATCTAGCACTAATGACATCTATGGACTCTTAAATCAGAAAGGTTCGTTGTTCAGAAAGTGTCAGCACATCCCTTTAAAAGATGGAGAAGACTTAGTCTGAAGAGAAAGCCATTTAAGCATATTGGTTTAATTTGGCTTTTTGTCACTGTTCAGCTATTGATGCTTGCGAGACCAGCAATGGAGGCTGCTCTGCCAAAGCAGAATGTAGAAGAACAACACCTGGAAATAGAATCTGCATATGCAAGGCTGGGTACACCGGAGACGGAATAGTCTGCATTGGTGAGCGTTCACCACATCTCTCATATCACAAGGAGGGAAGGTACAGCAGTGCATCGTTCTGTAGCTGGGAAAAGATCCATCTAAGACTCAGGATTGCAGTTTCCTGATACTATAGCCTCTGATGCTGAAGGCATATCAACACTCTTGCCAGCAACACCACGTGGTAGATATGACTAGCAGGACAGTATAACACCAGAGCTAATAAGGCAGACCTGCATCTCTGCAGAGATAGCCCAGTGAGTAGCAGCGTGATACACCCACGCTTCTCTGACCATTGTAGACTGAAAGAGTCTGGTACCATACCTCCCCATGTACCATTCTAAACACACTGACTGCAGGGGTTTAGCCTTTACCAAGGCAACTACAAGACCTAGACTGAGGTATCAAATAGCTAAGACAGTCTCACCGATTCATAGTTTTCATAATCTGCATGCCCAGTACGCTTTACTTCTGAGAACCCAAGAAGGAAGATAAGTCACTCTTTTTGCTACTGTTTCTGTTTTATAAAGAAATCAACCCTTGTTTGGAGAACAATGGTGGCTGTGATAGAAACGCTGAATGCACCCAAACTGGACCCAATCAAGTAAGTACTCCACCAATGCAAATAAATAGGACTGGACTGATCATTTCCAGTTGGGTAAAAGAATTTCCCCATCTGAACTTATCTTTTAAATGGAAAACTGGGTTTTGCAACAACAAAAATTCTGACAAGATGTATGCTCCCTTCAGAAATGCGCTTTTTGAGTGGGGGAATGGGGAACACAAACCTGAAAAAAGATGTATTTGGTAGAAGAAATCCAAAAATGTAGAGGCAAACAATGTTCTGATGTTTCAAGCCAAACCCAAAAGTGTTTTTCTCCTTTTGGAGGTTTTCATGTGAAAACCTGTCAGTTTGAAAATGTTACCAACTAAGGTTTCTTCTATTGTTACAGAAGCTGTCTGTGGAAAAATTCTATTTCAAACTAGCCCTTCTCCCAGCATTGCTCAAATGCGTGCACAGAGACAAAACAGGCTGAATCATAATTCTCACATAGTTGTTCACTCTTTCAACATTCTGTGACCATCATGAAGAAATACCATATAGTCTCCAAAGAAACAGAAGTAAAAAAGACTCAGGGGAAAGAGGAGAAAAATTGGCCCAGGCAATCACATTACACAGATTACCATTTCTATTTTTATAACAGTTCCCAAAGAAGCTGGACTCCCTGATTGCAGCACTTATTATCATCCCTCTAGTTTCATACTGGCTATTGGCAGGACTGTAATCCTCCAACACGCACTGCACAGCAGTATTTCTTCTGGAGCAAGGCAAAAAACAGATCAGCAGTCAGAGTCCGATTCCTGCCTTCCAGTTGCCCAGGGGAGAGGAAAGGGCATAATCCCTGTCAGCTCTTGTTGCTGATGCTGATTAATTACCATTGTGCTTTGACTGTCATTTGCAAGTCAGCACGTTTCTGGTGGGAGCACAGAGCTGCTTACTCCTTCCCTGTCCATCTGGACAAGATGAGTGATGGTTATTCTCTTTCCTGACATGGTCACTGAGGATAGAAGTAGTAGCTACAATATGATTATGGATACTTCCTTATCCATGGGAATAAAGTTGACACCAGAGCAGTAATAACCTCCATTACAAAATCCCATCACTGTACAGCCTAAATTCTATACTAGAAATGCTTGTGCTTTCTAAAGGAGTTTGAGTCATCCAGATGTATAAAATATTGCTATTACACTGCCTAGCAGTTTTGTTTCTGCTGCAGAAATCTCCTCCAAAAGTTCTGTCTTCTACACCTTACATATGAATTCTAACCTGAGAGCCATTAAGCAGTGAATTGAAGAGCAGAAGTCATTTCTTTGTAACCATGTTAATTTTTCATCAACATGATAATTGAAAGTACAAAAAAAGAGTGATCAGAGTAAGCACTGAGTGTATTGCCACTGAATGGGAAGCTGAGTAGTAACATCATGACACAACTGTGTTTTGTAGAGGTGTTTATAGAGATATTTTAAAGCTTAAAAAAAAGAAGGGGGCGGGGG